ATACAGTACAGAACCCGTTATCCGGAAATCAGAAAACCGGAAAACCAAAAAACCGGAACGAAATTCAATACATTTTCCCGCCATTTTTAAAAAAAAAATTTTTTTCCTCATAAGATTTTAGGATTTTTCTTTCTTTTTTGAAAGATGTTCACCTTACCATCATTTTGGAAATAATCATTAGTGTATTACTTCATCGGTTTTTCTTCTTTTTAAGATTATTTCCAAAAAAAAAAATTTTTTTTAGTTGGATTTAACAATAAAAAAAACGGTTTTTTGTAGCGATTCAGAAAACCGGAAAAATCAGTTATCCGGAATAGCGATGGTCCCAATCGTTCCGGATAATCGGTTCCCTACTGTATATATATATATATATATATATATACACACACACACATATTTATGTTCTCATTAAAATTATATTTGCCACCAACTTGACAGAATGGATCATGGTATATGACAATAAGTCATTAACAAAATTTTAGTTATATTTTTGATGAATTTTTGTTCTTATTTAGGCAACTATTTTCTTCATTTTTTTTTGTGTCAACCCTGTATATGTATGTATATATATTTTTATTTTAGTTTAAATTTTACTCGTAACGAAAAAAGTATCATAATTTTTGCTGTATCATTTGGCGGCACACAAAAGTGGCTGAGATTCACTGTTTTAGAGCATCCCTGTGGCAGAATTTTTTAGAGCTATCTGCGACAAAACTCTCTAGCACTAAACTCTTTCTGCAAGATACTTTTAATAATAACCACTATATATGTTACTAATTTAATTAATAACTACTAAATAACTATTAATGATTACTAATTTAATAAATAATTAACAAAAGTTCTGTGTTTACAACAAGAACTATAATTTTGTAAACATGTAATAATTTTTTATTCTAATATTATGCGTGTTATTTTCACATTTTGTTGACGGGGGCACACAAATTATTTCCTTCGCATTTTGTAAATAATTATCACAATAAAAAAATAATTATGAAATCCGTTTTCGAAAGAAAAAAAAAGATCGACAAAATAATGTGAATTGAAATCTATAATAAATAATTGTAATAACGCATAAAAAATATCAGATTTAAGAACTGTTGAAAAATCAATAGGAATAACTGCCAAAAATTCGATAGAATCATTGCCTTAAAAAGTAATTTCCACATTGTTTGAAATATATCATGAAATTTAAAAACCACGTGAAAATAAAAAGCAATCACTGCCTGAAATACAATCGAAACATTACGTCGGTTTAGAATACTACCGGAGTAAATTAAGTGCATCAAAAAGTGATTATCTAAATGCATTATTCAAATATTACGTGTAAACTTCTGTCTTCTGTAGAATAGAGAGCTAAAATGTTTTACTTTTCAAAAGAAAATTAAATCTTTCTGCAAGAAAGACTGCGTTCTGCGACAATGTCGCCATGTCGCAGCTATTCTGCCACAGGGTAGAGTATAATTTTTTAGAGTTTATCTAATGACGTGTTTTAAATATTTGTTTAAATATTTGACATTTTAGGTTATTTAATGAGTACTACTTTTGATTGCAGGGTATGCCAGAATCCTGGGCTAGACTGTTACAAAGTTCTAACATTACCAAATCAGAACAAAAACAAAATCCCCAAGCAGTTTTGGATGTTCTGAATTGGTATGATGCTAGTACCAAAGAGAAACAAGAATCTAAATACATGACTATGAACAAAACATATGGTGAGAACCTTTTGAATGATCTACGTGGCATTTCTTGCAATAAAAATGCAAATATTTTCTTTTTCAACTTACTGAATTAATTGTGGAAAAAATGCCTAAATGAATACCAGGATATTATAAATTTATTTTCGAAACAGTTATTGATATTAGCTATTTAACAGATTGAATCATGATCTCAACTGAAACTCCAAAGTTGCTCCACAAGACATGAAGAGAGACTGTGGAACAACTAATGATACATATACAACTTAGAATTATTTTTTATTTTATTTCATTACCTAATTTCTGTGTGTTTCATCGTATATTTTGTAATGCAGCAGAGAACCATTTATCCGGTATCCAAAAAAATCGGGAAAATGTTTGCTTGGATCTCCCGCCATTTTAAACCAGAGCGATTGAGGGGAAAAAAGTAGAAATTTGACTTCACGTTTGTCAAAACTTCAATATTTCTTCAGTGACCTCGAAGATCTTTAGATAAATAGTGGGGCAGGAAAGGGACAAATGTTTTATTTTCTCCTGTTTGTCTGAAAGAATAATTTTTCTGATGATCTGCTGTCATTCAAACATAAAGGATTTCGTTTTCTCTTTGATTTACGAGGTGGTAAAGAAAATGCATTGCACGCGCATATCAGATGAAAGAAATGAACAATTTATATATATATATATATATATATATATTTACTGAAAAAAGGTGAAATGGAAAGTCGAAAGCGATTAAACTAAACTATGACTATTTTTTATTCAATTGTAAAGTAGAAATAGTGTTGAGCTTAATTTAATCATTTAAAAAATAATCAGGAATTTGTAAATTATAATTTAGTAAATTATTAATATAATTAGCTATGCTTGTGGGGGAACAAGTACAAAAACCATCAAGCTAGCATTAAATGATTTCAAAGTGAGTTATAAAACATTAACGCATTATTTAAAAAAATGGATTAAATAGGGGAAGAAAAATTGAGAATATTTAATTAAAAATACGACAAAGTTTTGCCACTCCTTATAAGAACATAAAGTTTTAAAAAATAAAAACGAAATAAAATAACAAATAAGTATGAATCTTTTTCTAAAGTCAGATCCTGTTAAATTTAGAATCTGGAAAGAAAATTCCGAAATTGAACAACGATATTGCCTGAAAGTAAAATGACAGATACAGATTCGTAAGCCCCGGGAATAGTTTGGGAAAAGAAGATTCCAAAAAAAAAAGTCTGTGAATTGTCAGTGGTAAACACAATATTACCTCTGAACCGTGAATTGTCATTGTCAGAGAATTTGACACTCGATTTAATTGTTGGATTTTACTTTTCTGTTTTTCGTAATATCATTTGCGCAATAGAGGATTTTAAAAAAAATCCAATCCCCCCTCCCAAAACCAACCATCAGTAGGTGCATCTTCAAGATTCTTCTATTATTCTTAACCATTTCTGAGTGTTGTCAATTGGATGACTGAGTGAAGATAATAACTAACGACAGTGTCGACCTTTATCTATGAAAAGGTACCCCCAACGTAGAATCGAGTTTACACACGTCTTACATACTAGTGAATTGGAATTGTATTTTTGTAGTTGAAGATACACTACATATTCATATAAAATAATTCATTATCATTACAAGGAAAGATATGTTGAAAGCCAATTTTTTCTTTCTTACAAGTTAAAAAAGTTAGTGTGCCATTTTCCAGGCACTTTTTTGATTATCATGAAGAAAATATTTGTTACGTGAAATTCTGCAATACTCTTCGTTTAAATCATTCATTTCTTATTATGGTAATGATTTGCAGATCTCACTGTTTTGTTTTTTATTTTCAGTATAATAGTTAGAACCGTACAAATTTCCTAAAATTGCATGTGTATTTAATCAAATTTTGTATTTTCAAAGCTGACTTAACGAGTGTGTGGCATTCGAGTAGGTACTATTGTATTTCTATCACTTGACACTTGAATGTGAAGTCATTTATGGTAGACATTAATATTTATTTTCAGGAGATCCCTCACCTCGACCAAGCTACCTTGCTGATAAATATGCAATCAATGCCATTGTTCCTTCTCTACCAGTATCTGTAAGTATGTGCTGATGAACCAGTTGGATTTATGGCATGTATGAATACCTGTAATATAATATGTTTGAATGGTGTGGGTCAATATTAAGGGGAGATATAGGGCCATGTAGCAATAGTAGGGGTCTGTTTAGAAGAAATTTAGGTCCGTTAACTGACCTTTCACAAATTGTCTTTTCATAAAAATGGACCCTTCGCAAAATACTTTTTTTTTTTAATGGGACCCTTCACAAATTTGTTTATCTTCATTATTGTTTTGTTAATCGAATAAATTCTTCCCAGAGGGGGGGTAGAAAGACAGGTGTAAACGAACAAGTTTTGTCTTTGGCAGACGCTTCTTCCTTTATTCGTCCGAAATGAACATTCTGTGTTCAGCAGTATAGGCTAAATACCAAATATTTATATGTTGCATCTCTANACAAATCATTTTTCTAAATTATGCCGAAGGCTGGCAAATTTTGTGAGCAAGAAAAAACACCACAGGATTTCGTAGAAAAAGTTTATCATTTTTTGTTTATTTTAGTTCTTAGATCATATGCATTTATAGTACACAACTCACCAATTTACAAAAGGTGAAAATCCACCACGTGGATGCTGGGTCCTCCCTGTGTGCTCCAGGGAGTAGATAGGAATTTAATTTAACATATTGAAATAATTGTTTTTTTTTTTGTAGAATTACATGATGCATCAAATAATTAGAAGATAAGGTTGCAGAAACTTATAAACGTAAAAATGAAAGAGTAAACTCTAGAGCACACAGGGGGAAAACACAAAAAAAGACGCTGCTCTAAAAAAGGCAACCACTCAGTTGAGATCCACGGGGAATACTGGTCTATCTCCAAAAGATAGCGTCCCCTCCCTAGCGGTTGCAAGAATCTCTAAAGACGAGCTAGGAGTCGAACCCTAGAGATCCTGCAAAGGCAACGAAGAAAGGACACCTACTTTCCTACTGGGCTGACTCCTGTTGGAGACAGCCCAGTAGGAAAAGTAAACATTGTGGTGATCCCATGATCACACCACACATAGTAACCTATAGGGTCGCATTGTACACTCCCTAATTGGCCTATAATAATTTCCTCTGGTAGGGTACACCAGTACCCTGTTATGTAATACATGGTTTGAATCTTTTGTTAAGCGGAGATATTGGCCTATAATATATTTAAAAACATAATAAAAATCATATAATTTTCTATTGAACAAATATTTTACAAGATAAAATTGTCCACTTACGAGAGTTTTCCGTTTATGGGAAACTAATAACGAAATTTAACGCCGTAAATTGCTTATAGAATAATTGCAATGATATAGAAAAAAACTAAATAATAGTAATAATACTTTTTATCCTTAAATTTCTGAATTTGCTAGGTCCTTCTGATAGGACATTTCTCTTTAATCAGATGTCTGTTTCTGTCCCAAAGGTGACTAGAGTAAAATAGGTTTTGTTTACACCAGTTACCTGATTAACATCTCTAGTAAGTTTGTTTATCTACCGAACAAAAGATCCAGTTCAATATTCAAATTATAATCTGGGGTAGCCTGGTAGGTAGGGCGCTGGGCCCATGTCCGAAGGTCGTCGGTTGGATCCCCAACGGACGAAGACTCCCCATGTAGTAAATGGTGACTGATGCACATTAAATTTGTCAGGTCACAAAGTCGTTCAGGTACCCATAACAAAGAGTTTCCTTGTCTTCTGGTTTGGGTTCAAAATTGCAAGACTTCAGTGTTGAACATGAGTAGTCTTAAACCCAAAAATTGGGCCAATGAGGTGAACCGGTTTTGAATTCCAGTGATGGTTGGTCAATTTGAATTCTGCATCCGACTTGCACCGACCACAGTGCTGATGTAAAATAGCCTCAGTAGTAAACGAAATCATGGGTTAGGGTCCCCTTGCCATCAAGCTAACTGTGGGAGGTTTTCCTCTCCATATAACGCAAATGCAGGTTAGTTCCATCAAAAAACTCCTCCACAAAGGCAGATTTCTCCCAATAGTTCATCAAGAAGTTCCCTTGTGTTCTGGGTTGGGTCCAAAATTATAAGACTATGGAATTGAATTTCAGTAGTCATAAACCCAAGATTTAGTCAGCTGTTCAACGACGGTTCTAAAAAATAAATAAATTGAATATTCAAATTATAACTGTGTAAATATTGCAAATTGATTTTTTTTCTTCAAAATGTGAAATTATATAAGAGGGATTTTCAAGCTGTCCTTATCTAGCCTTATTATAAGTAATATTTAAAGTGAAAAATAAGATCAATAATACTGAAAAGCCAATAAAGTAGATCATATTTTGAAAAAAAAGTCCTATTTGTGGCTTTACTCTCTTCGCACATTTTAATAAACATTTGAGCAAATTTTTTCTTCATTAATTTGCTCTGATGCTAGTCAGTTCAATAATAAATTTATCTCTGCAATTTTTTTTATTTCTTTATATACAGTCAATTTCATATTAGGTTGTTTAATTCAATTCTGCATAAAAAAATAATAAATATTGCATTTAATTACAGCTTTGATCTATTTTGTACTCTATTTGTAGAAAATATTTTAAAACGAACAATAGATTACTTACCTATCAGAAATTACGTAATTTTTTTTGTACAAATGATTGAGTTAAGTCTATTTTTTTTTTTACCCCTTCATATCTGAGACTTTTTTATTTTTAGAAGGCGCAAAATAGTTGAATTCTGAGATGGTTGGGTACTTTTGAAGCATGGAAAAGTGCTTTGATCATGAGAGAAAATGAGAATTGTTGCTTGGTTTACCCGTTGTTAAATCAGATTATGAATTTCGTAATATCTGTATTTTTAATTCATAGTTTCCATGGGGATTCAGAAAATATTCGTTACATTGAAATTTTCACTGATTTCGCTAAAATGGGATGATAACTTAACTCATAAAATAATAACTTAACTCATTAATTTAATCTTTTAAAAAAAGGGAAATCTATGTTCATCGTAAAACAGCTTTTATTATGCCATGCAGAATCATTTCTTTTTTAAAGTTGTCTGTACTTAAGGACTGAGAAATGTATTTGGTGTATTGAAATGAAATGTGGTTTTAAAAATAATGTTTCTAAAATTAGGATTCCATAGAATTTTCATCAGCCTCATGATTTTTACAAAAATTTTATACTATTTACAGAAACATAAGAAAAAGCATTAAAATTTCAGTCTTTTTCTTTATTTGCATTTTAAAAAAAGATTTGGAAATATTATAGGATTTTTAAAAAATGCCATTTTGAAATTAGGGTAGCTTATTACAAACAGAGTAATTATATAATTTTGCTTATTGAAACTTATTAACATCAATATTATTTACTATAAATTTTAAAACTATGAAAGTCTATAAAAAGAGATTTAAAAAATCTCATAAGTTAATGCTTTGGATATTTTTTAAATTGAGGATTTTTTGTTAAAAAACACCACTCTATTTAAATCAATGATTTTTTTTTCAAAAAAGAATTATTTAAATTGATAATTTACAAAAAAAAATATATCAATTAGTTCAAATCGTAATTTAAACCAACAAAAATTTATTTTGACTAAATCTTTGCCTTAATAAGATGTATTAAATAGTTACATAAGATTTTATTGTTTCAGCCTACTCGAAAGCTAGAACGGACTCCTCCGACGACACCTGAAGAGGAGCCAGAAGAGCCTGAACCACCCCCACCACCTGTTGCTGCTAGGCCTGAGAAAACTAAATCTATTGTTAGTAAAGATAACCAGTTTCAGATTTATAATTAATTAGGTTTAAGCCTAACGAAGGTTGCCACTCCAAAGGGAAAACCTGGAAAATATAGGGAATTTAAAAATCATCTAAAATAACAGGGAATTTAGATTTTTTCCTTTACAAACTATGAAAATATGGAGAATTTTGTTTCTTATTTTCATCTTTTAAAAAATGGTGACTACTCAAAGCATAATCTATGGGATATTTCAGCTATACTAAACTATTTGAATTTATTATTTGTCCTGCTCTAAGTTTGCCCCACAATTAATAATCACACAAGAGAATTGTTGTTTCTTCTTAACATATTGTGTATACATAGAAAACACGGGGAATTTTTTTTTCCTTTCAGGTTTGAGTGGCTACCCTGTTAACAGAATTTATTTAATTCTGTCAATAACTTCTTCTCGTGTCATGAATGATAATCATTGTGCTTTTGAAAGTGGAATTATATTATGTAACATTTTTTATACATAGGTTCAAATTTAAAAAAAAAAAAAAAATTTTGATTTTCCTATTTTGTTGACATTACTATAATGTCTTTAAAAAATGCTTGATATAAAATCAAATCGTCATCTATATGTTCTGATATTTTTTAAACTGGTTAATTGATATTATAGAACAACCTAAACTAAAAACTTTTTTTTTTGTTAATTTAAATGGAATGGGAATGACATGCTATTAAAGAATTTTATTTTTGTGTTTGCAAATGTTTTTTTATTGCAGTAATTTGTTTTTATGTGTGATTCTAATATTTTCAAAATACAATGTTTATAGAAAAGAACATTTTAACAAAAAAAATATTTGAAATTAATTTAATACTCAGTTGAGTCCCTGTTTAAATGGTGCTTTACTTAACGACAGTGTCTATTTAAAGACAATATGTTGTTCACTTGATTCCTTCATGGCAGAAAAATCTCTATTTGAGGGTGCTGTTTTCTTTTAAAGAAAATAAACTGAATTGTAGAAATATACTTTTTTAATTTTGTAGTATACAAAACCCGTGGATGATGAAGTCAAGAATAAAGCATTGGGATATGACAGGAGGGACATTGCCAATAACAACAATGCCCCTGCAACAATGACACCAGCTCCCACAACAACTTCTTCCGTGAAAACAAGGAAAAAGTTATCTGAAGCAGAGTTAGTTGAGAAAATTAAAAGTTTAGTTTCTGTTGGGGATCCTAACAGGCGTTATACCAAAATGGAAAGGATTGGCATCGGGTAAGCATAAAAAGCTTCCACTAAGATTATTCCTTTATCTTTTTCTTTATTCTAAATGAAAAGCTCATACTTTCACATCCTGTCTTTAAATCTATTTTTAGTTCAAGTATGCATTAACTTACATTTTAACGTTTATCCCTGTAACTAAGCGTGAGAAAGCTGTTTAATAGACCAATTTAATAAACTAAGATTTCTCTTATTCCATTCCCTAAAACGAGACATTTTGCAGACTTACTTTACAAAATTTTCCCTAACATTTATTGAGGAGCGATTTTGTGTCTCTTTGATGACTGTTCTCTCTCTATTAATTATTAAATAAATAGTGTGCCCCTTTTTCGCTGTTTTTATCCTTCCTCTCGGCAACGACGTTACATGCAATGATATGTATACATATACATCTATTTATATATGTATCTATACAATGCAATAATAATGAAAATTGAAAAGTATAAAATACGTAATTCCAAGTTGCAACAGTGCCAATATATATATGTATGTATATATATGTATCTACGTATTAATAAATGCTCTCTTGGTTTTTCGTACATTTTACAAAATTCCTGAAAAGTGAGTAAGTTTCCTAAAACAAGATCCCTATTAAAATAATATTTTTACACAATTCATTGCTTATTTAAATAAATATGACTAATGTATTAAAAGGTTTTCTTTTTTCTTGCTCTAAGTTTTTCAGTTTATTTTTATTGAGAATTAATCTTTTAAATCATATTCAATTAGCATTCATTTTGAATTAACATTACAAGTTCATTTAATGTGAATTGAAAGTGGAAAATATTACAGACAATTTATAGTTATTAGTGTAGTAAATCTTTTGTCTTGTGATAACAAAACAAAAAAATCCCTAAAATTCTATATATGTGAAATAGCTCTTTATATCATAAAAGTACAGTTGTCTCATAGTCTGGTCAGACTGTTTTGCAGATTTGTAGCCAATAAGAAAAAAAGCTTATCTTGATGAATACCTCAAACAATTAATCAGATATTTGAGTGTAACCAACCGCTGAATTCAACTACTAACAGCATTTTTAATGTGATGCTGCATTTTGCGACTACAACTCATCTGTACTCGATCCTTTACATGCGAAACACATTTTAACCCAGCTTTATTCACTTATTGTATTTTAATTGTGCTGAAGTTATTTATTAGGACCTTTAAGTGAAAAGTGACTTCAGCTGTGGCATTACTGCGGATCAATAAAGAAAAGTGCATGAAAAAAACAGGAGGTATTATGAATGTAACAGACAACGCATCAATGATAGGCATCTGGAAGCTGGAAATCACAGAGGAGTGAAGAAAATAATCAAAGTGCTCAAAAATGCAGGCAGCAAATTTATATTTTATAACTGTCGTTAAACAGCTGATCCAAATTAGGGTTTACAGCTACCAATGTTCAACTCTGTAACCTTGTCATTTTGAAACCAATCCAGAAGACAACATATCAAGTATTGGAAAAAATTTTGTCTTCGGGAAGGACTTTTTGATGGAATTAATATGCATGTGCATTACGTGAAGGGGAAAACCACGAGAACCTCCCACGGTTAGCCTGGCGGGACTCTCATCCATGGTTCGCCGGCCACTGAGGATATTTTGCGTCAGCACTGCTATCAGTGCGAGCCGGATGCAGAATTCGTATCGACCCGCATTCACCGGGATTCCGACCCATTTCACCTCGATGGGAGGCGAGTACTTTATCCCCTGAGCCATCATGTCTCTGACTCATTCAGAAGAGAGAAACATCAGAGTCGCATCTGTGCTGTGTTTCCAGTCATGGTGTGAAAAAGTCATGAAGTACATGGCTTCATGGACTCCATATGTTACTGGGAATTTAAAAGTCTCCTAAAATAACTGGAAATTTTTAGTTTTCCTGGGAAAATACAGGGAATTTATTTTAGTGCTTTATAAAATAAATAAAAAAAATTTTAACGGCAGGCACTTGAACTCTCGTCCTTCACCTCGGAAGATGCCGGAAGTGTTGCTCATTTAGCGTTACCCAGTGGGCACCTGTGAACCTAAGTCACGGAGGCGAGCTACACTACCCACGCCACACTGCCACAAACCCGTTCATAGGGCGGGCCACATTCACACATCACACACAACAGAGGACAACACAGAGAGAAACATCCATGCCCAGAGCGGGATTCGAACCCGCAGCCATTGGCTTCGCAGTCAGGCACGCTAACCGCTTGGCCACCTGGCCGGCGTGTTTTATAAAATGGTGACCACTCAAAAAATGGTATTATATGTGTAAAAATGGTTTTATAATATAGTGAGCATTCAAAATGCAATCTATGGGATATTTAAGGAAAATATTTCCTTTACTATAGCATTATTTAAGTATGTTCAGCTGTTACTCTAAGTTTTTCTAGCATATAAAACTAGTATCTTATACAGTAATTGTTTCTTGTGTATAATACGTAGAGGGAATCCAAATATGAGTGGCAACTCTGTGTATGTATATTAAATGAAGTTAATATATTTCAGTGCATCGGGCACAGTGTACACGGCCATAGAGTCAGCAACTGGAATGGAGGTGGCTATAAAGCAAATGAATTTACCTCAGCAACCAAAGAAGGATCTGATTGTGAATGAGATTTTAGTCATGAAGGAAAAGAAACATCCCAACATCGTAAATTATCTCGACAGCTACATTGTTGGAGATGAGTTATGGGTAAGACTCTCTGTTTACTGTTATTAATAGTTAGTTTTTTGTGATTCCTTGTTGTTGCTAATTATTGATTATTAACTTGTTCGTTAGTTATTGTTTGTGCATCTTTATTTTAATTGTTAGCTTTTATTTCCTTATGTAAGTTAATATTTAGCTTCCTTGATTTTTTTTAATTCATAATTTTAATAATCATTAAATTTCCTACTCATTTTAAGATTGTCAGAGACAGGACTATAGTCGACAAAGATGCTCACTCCATTAAAGCGTGGAAAAATTATAAAAAGTATATATATATATATGATATTATATATATATACTTTAGTTTAAGCTTTACTCATAAGACAAAAAGCATTATAATTTTTAATTTATCATTTCTAAATTTTGGCGGCTCACAAAAGTGCCACGGCACAATAGTTGTGGATCACTGCTCTTAGTTAAATCATTTTCTTTATGAAATCATCAGTTCAAACATTTTTAAAGCATATTATTAGGAGTTTGCTTAAAATTTTTAGTGATTTACATATTTTAAAATTTTATTGTAGATATTTCACACTGTTAATACATTTCAATTAGCAAAATAACATTTATGCTTGGTGCATGTGCAAAAACTTGATGTATTTTTTGAATATAGATATACAGTGAACTCTCACTTATGCACCGGTGTAAGGGGCCAAGAGAAAAAGGCGCATATGTGAAAAACTTCAAAATTCTAAAACGCAACGTAAATTGCAGTGACAATATGAATAAATATGTTTCTAAAGATTAAATGTTAATATTTATACTGTTTTGGTATTTAGTACTATAATTATGCAAAGAAAAAATTTAACATACCTTAAGACAATTTATTTCCTTACAAAATAATCTTAATACCTGTTTGTATTTGTTTTTGCCGACGTATTTCAAAAATAGTTTCCTCCAGTTCATATAAATGGGATAAGGGGGAGTTTCAGAAACAAAATTGAATTGTAAATAATCACGAATAATGTCCAAAGCTTCCAATACTGTTGTGTGATTTGGAGGAACTTTATCATCCTCGTCAGTATCATCCACCACGTTCTCATCGTCCACAAGTTTTAGTTAGATATAAATGAACACTTCTTCACAAAAAATTTGAGTTTTATGGGAGGGGGTGAAACATCACATGATAAATTTCTAAGAAAAGTACTTGACGTCATAATATGCTGCACAATAAGTTGTTCGATTACTAATGTCACTAAACAGATCACCTCCTTTTATTTACTCATAATGTCCATCTGACTGCAAGTAAGTGATCGCGGTCTCTTTCATCTTTCGTATTCCAGGTGTCTTTTTTTTCTCTAGAAAACAGCATGGGAGTAAAACTAACCTCTGGACAAGAGGAATGGTCATTTTCTAAAAGATGAATGGGCTTTCATTGTTGTTGGTGTAACAGATAAGACACCCTATTCAAAATTCTAGAAAGAATGTCTTTCCAGAAACAGCAAAAATGAAAAGGTCACAGGGGGAAGCAAATTCAATAGGATCTAACAACATATATTTCTTTTCATCTGTAACAAGGATTGCTTATTTGCTTCATTTTTAATTTAAAACATTTTTTTTAAAAAAGAAAAAATATTTAAAGGATTAAAAAATTAAAATGTTAGCCTAAAATTTCGGCGCATAATTGAAAAATTGACTTTTAGAGCGACGCATAAACGAAGGATGTTTATCATTATTTTCCTATCTAATGTACTGGGACCTATAAAAATCGTCGTATAAATGAAAAAGGTGCATAAAAGAGGTGGTGCATAAGTGAGAGGTCACTGTATATTTTTCATTTATACAAGATTTTTCTGATGAATTCTGATGATGAGATTAAGGTAAAATACATTTAATCCATCTAGTAACTAATATATATATATTTTGCTTTGCATTTTTATTGTTTATCTAAATAGTTTAGCACCTGGTAATGTGATATATTACAAAATCACTTCGTGTTATAACATTTTTTCGAATAATTATTTACTTTTAAAACACAGGAACTCGGGCTTTGAATCAAAATCACAAGTCTTAACACTAGAAAGACTGAAATACCTATATTGCCCAAAAGCTGTCAAAATGACTGATTGTGAAAAAATAACTAATGTATAAAGAAATTTGCTTAAAATCAATTTTCATTATTTTTGATATTATTTTCAGTTATATAACGAGTTATTAGTAAATATCAACAATAAAAATAATTATAAAAGTCACAAAATTCTAAGAAATTGTGTCATCATTGTTTTTCGAATTGAAATTAAAAAGCAGTCAAAATGACTTCCTTGGGCAATCTAGTGTTAAATAAATTTTAAACAAAAATAAAATCTTAAACTGAAGAAAATGTAAACTATAAAAATATACTGCTTCTTAAGCATCAAAACATTGCTAAAGCAGGGTTGCCATTCTGCAGAGAAAATCTGGAAAGTTCAACGAATTTGAAAATCACCTAAAATAACGGGGGGAAATGCATGGAATTTTGAATTTTTCCATACAAACAGGGAATTTTTGTCTTTCAAAAAATACAGACCTCTCAAAGTGCAATCTATGGGCTATATAAAGATGATAGTTCAGCTATATTTAATTTATTATGGCATTATTTCTTTTATGTTAAACTGTTCCTTTTTTTCTGAGACTAGCATCGTTATTCTAGTATAGCACAGTGAATGTGTGCTAATACGTATATTGTTTATAATATTTGCAGTGGAAACACAGGGAATTTTTTTTATTGATATGAGTGGCAACCTTATAAAATCTTTTAGAATGAAAATACAGTATAGAACCTCTTATCCGGAAATCAGAAAACCGGAACGAAGTTCGCTAAACTTTCCTGCCATTTAAAAAAAAAGAAAGAAAAAATTCTTAAGGTTTTAGGATTTTTCTTTATTTTTCGAAAGATGTTTACTTTACCATTATTTTAGAAATAATCATTAGTTCCCTACACTGTGAAGAGAAGTAAGAGTCTTGTACTAAATATCATCAATATACCCCTTCCTCACTCCCTACATAGTTGTTTCTTTTCAATCATAGCTCAGTGAGAAAGTGTGACTCATTGAACACCTGTTTTCTTATCATCTTAAGCAAGGGGAGTCATTGCATTTTTTGAACATTTTATATTAAGCCTGTATATATTTTTATTTAATTTTTTTCCCTTTTTATCTTATAAAACTTCTGTGTATTACTTTATCGTTTTTTCTTCTTTTCAAAAATATTTCTAACTAAATGTTTTTTGTTCTTGAGTTTGCCAATAAAAAAAATGGCGTTTTTGCAGTGATTCAGAAAACCGGAAGAATCAGTTATACGGAATAGCGATGGTCCCAATAGTTCCAAATAATCGGTTCTTTTCTGTAATAAATTTGTATTGACTAAATGAAATAAATGTAAGAATAAATTTAAATTTTTGTAAATAAAAACAGCTAAATATTTAATGGTTTAAAAATAAAAAAAATTCTAATACCTAATGGTGCTAAAGTAAAATTGATGAAGGCACTCTACATTGTGGAACTGATTCATGTACACTAACTCCATTTGTGATTAAATTCTTTCAAAACTATCAGGATTACCACTCCAGTGGAAAAACCTGGAAAATACAGGGAATTTAAAAATCACAACAGAGATAATGCAGGGAATTTTTAGTTTTTCCCTACAAACTGTAGAAAATACAGGGAATTTTATTTCTTATTTTTGTCTTTTAAAAGTAGTGACCACTCAAAGCGCTACAATATTGAAGGATGATATTTCAGCTATACTAAACTATTTCATTTATTATAGCATTATTTAAGTATATTAAGCTGTTCCTTATTTCTTTAAAATTTTCCAGGAATTAAAACTAGTATAGCTTGACTGATCACTCAAGACCTCTTAATATAGTGTATGCATAATACTTACAGAGAAAACACTGGGAATTTTTTTTTTTTTTTTTCAGATTTGAGTGGCAGCTTAAATGAGAATATGAATGAATCGGAAGAAACAAAGCCACTATATCACCTTATCCTATTCAGGACATAAGTGACGCAACTTTTTTTCAAAACCAATTTTGAAGGAAAATAAATTGAATAAAGCAAGGCTACTTTTTAAGATATTTTGTTGCTGAGTATTTTATTTTAAATGCAAGATGCCTGTTTTAAAAAATAAATGTACTTCCAAATATTATTTAAGAATGGATATAAACTAGTAATATATTTCAATCAGTACATCAGCTTCAGTCTTAGAAATTAAATCCGTCATTGAATTTATTTTATTTTTTCTTAAAAGTATGTTTTCCTGTATATTTTACATTGTCTTTTCTTCATATCAGTTTCAGTCATATTTTTTTTTCCCTCGCATTTACTTCAACATTTCCTATATCTATCATCTTTAAAAAAAAGAAAGAAAATTACATATTTTATTATTTTTAATCATCTATAAACTTATTTATTGCTTTATATATGTTTCTTTGTCAATAATGAAAGCGTTAGAGTTCCCTTTTTTTAATTAAGTGCAATCATGGTTTCTTTCTTTCTTTAACACGTTTTTTGACGAAGTAGTTTTTTGCGAGGGATTTTTTATATTCAATTGTTTTGGTTTGAAAATTTTTTTTCTTTAGAAGCCTTATGAGGAAACGTGTTTTCAGAATTCAGCATCTCACCCTTTCAGTGTAGCTGAAACAAACCCATTTAAAAGAACCATTTTGTAATAAAAATTAAAAACCGCCTGCCCACAACTAATGGTCAAATGATTAACTGCTCACATTCCCTCAGACAGGTCATTGTGATAGTGGGAGAGAAAGAAATATTTTATTTCCCAATTAGAAACGTTTCTCAGTCGGAAAAGGAATTTTCTCTTTCTTAGTTTTACTCACACTAAATTTATGTTGATGTAAATAGTTTTGACGTCACAGAGTTCTGTCCAGGCCAAATTTACTACCGTTTAGCGGCACCTTCACAAATCCAACTTAAGGAAAAACGGTAGTTCACAAAATACTTTAAAAAAGCAAATTCTAAAAATTTTTTTCTCTATGAAACTTTTTTGACCCAGTCGAAAATATTTTCGTAACAAAGATAACTTTCAGTGCTAGTAATTTTAAAGGTATGTTTTTTTAAAAAAATTTAGATGCACTATTAAGGCCAAAATTTTATAACAAAAAGGTTTTTGAACGTATGGGAAAAATGTATATAGAAATTTACCAGTCATAAATAGTTTTTATTTGTAGTGACAATTTCTGAAAATGTTTTTTTTATTTTATCCCATTGTGTTGAATTTTTAATATAATTTTTAATTTTCGCAAATTATGTCTAAATTTTCACAAAATTGGTTCCTCTCAAAAAGAAACATTGATTTTTAATTTTCGCAAATTATGTCTAAATTTTCACAAAATTGGTTCCTCTCAAAAAGAAACCTTGACAGACCCCTGGAACATCTTCCGCATTTTCTTTTGAGTCGTTCATTTTCTTTACTGAAGGTCGCGAAAGAATCTACATTTTATAGGTTACACTTGACTATTACAACTAACTCCTGGTTGCAGCTGGAATAAGGTGACCTGCAATTGGAGGGGAAGGGTGTATGTATTACGCTACTTTCTTTTGCTTTTTTCTGCAAATTACTTTTTTTTGCAGGTATTTAGTTAAACCCTTAGTCTATTCAAAAATTTAACTTTTAATAGAAAATTTAGTAATACACATTATAAAGAAATTATTAAAATGAATCATTTCGCTGAATAGTGTGTTCCAACTTTTAAATATAACTTTCTTGAAAAATTATGAGAGTAAAAAAATATCAAAAAGGAAATCAGTTGAAAAGATGTCATCTAAAAAAATTTTTTATTGGGTAATAACAGATGGCGAGTGAAATTTAACGCTCCTATTAAAAATGCTGTGTAGAAAAATGCTTCAATAATTGGTAAAGCAAAAGATATATTATATGTTTTTAATTGTAGGTCATAATGGAGTACTTACCAGGTGGCTCATTGACTGATGTTGTGACTGAAACTTGTATGGCTGAAGGTCAAATAGCAGCTGTTTGTAGAGAAGTAAGATGATTCCTCTTTTATGTTTCTAATCATTTTTGTCCCCTCTATCTTTCACTAAATCATGTTTTTATACTTTTAAAATAAAAATTTGGAAATTGTTTGTTCAAAATATATATATAAGTATTTTAGTTAACTTTCATTACATAATGAAAGCTAATTGAAAATAAAGTCGTCGTCCGTGGCTCGGCAGCCCGGGGTGGGCCTTGGCCTTCTCAAGAAGTTTTTCTTCTTCAGGCTAACCTTTTTCCTGCTTGTGTTTTCCAGTTTTTAGTTTTTTGGGTTACCGCCATTGACTTCAAAATTGTTTTCGGGGTTTTTTCAAAAATCATTTTAATTTTAGTCGGCGTCTTTTTCTCGGTGCGGAGCTTCTGTTGGTGTCTATGAATAAAATCTAGCATCTGTAAAAATGATTCTAACTTATATGCGTAGAAACAAATTTACCAATTATGAATGATAAAGCTGTTTTTAATGAATAAACAATTATGTTTTTTGTTTCAGTTTGCATTTAATTTTATGTCAAAAATGAGTTAGCTTTAAAAAGAAGTTTGTTTGCTTGTTTTTTCTGAAATTACTTTTTGTTCTGCTTTCAACTCTGAAAATAAATCATTGATAACATCGTCTTTAGTGCACTCTGGCTGCAACATGAGGTTGTATCATCAAATAGAACATTCTAAATAAGAGCCTCATGGGTATCCACACACCTGGAAATTCATGAATCTCAGTATTGAACAAAATTTGTCATGATTTTTACTATTTTTAAGAAAAAGTCATGGATTTAGGTCTCCGAAAAATCTAATTTTTAAAATGGAATCCCAATTTCATCCTGTTCCAAATATCTGAATTCCTAACAAAATCATCACTCAGTCATATTTTATTAGAATATAAAATGATTTAATCATGTTCTTTAAAAATGATGGTGTTCTTTCAAAAAATGAAAGAAAAAACATCATTTCTATAGCGAATTATCTTTTAAACTTCTGACATTTAAAATTTTTTTTATTATTTATTTTTTAAATTTTATCTATTTAAAATTCTAGTTGAAGCAAACCAGCCATTGGCGAATTTTTTTAATTCCGAAATGAGAACAGAAAAATCGGGAGTATTTTTTTCCTTTCTGATGAACAAGAAGAATCTTTAGAATATCTGCAGAAAGAAAAGGAAAAAAAAAAAAAAATATTTGCTTTTGTATTTTTTTCAGCTATTTTATTGTTTCAACTCTTTCTTTACTCTGTTTTTTAAATTTAAAATCTATAAATATGAAGATGCAGAGTATAGCAGTTTTGGTTATACTCAATTAACGTTATTATAATGCTTTTTTAAATTTATTGTTGCGTTTTTGTGGGAGAAAATAGTAACTTGTTAAGTCATGAAAAATTCTTGGAATTAGTCATAGAAAATCATGAAAAGTCATGAATTTGAAAATCTAAAATGTAGCAGATACCTTGTATATAGCCTCAGTGTAGTCAAAATATATTTAAGAGCATTTTTATTTCTAAAACATTATTTACTTATGTTTTTTTTCCCCAGTGAAATATATACTAATTTTAGAACTATACCCACTTTACCCCACTCTGGGGTAAAGTGGATACATCAAAATGCGTTCTTTTGAGTCCATTGCTGTAAGAAAACAATCAAACAAAATCGATGGATTATGCCTTTATATTTAATCTATATGGATTTAATGAATTTAAAATGCGTAAAAATATTCGGTAAAATAAATTTAATAGTTTGGTTTCAGTTAAAAAGCTTGATTTTTATAAACACCTGACCCTACTGTTTCAGATTGGAGTTCTTTACAAAATCAAATTTGTATTTGACTACTTGATAATTTTTTTGATAGGATAACATTGCAAACCTGCCAAGTCTCTTGTTTTTTAACGAAGACTCCCGTATTTTATGACTATCTCCCGTCCGTGTATATTCTCAAATTTCTCTGTATTTTAACTTTTTTAGAGATGTATTAATGGCAAAAATACCTCTCCTATTTTCTTAAAGGTGGCGTTTTTGCCAGCACTGCAGTTTATGTGCTGCCACGACGACCCAACTGCATGTTGTGAGTCTGTGTGTGGTTTTTTCTCTGACTACGAACTTCATTATTTACCTATAGGAATCTGGCAATAACTTCATTAGTTTGCGTTGCATCTCTAACGAATGTCGTTAAAACATAAATGGGTTTCTGTTTTCAGAATCATTTACTGGGAGTGTCCATTGGGCAACTAGAAAATGAACTATATAAAACTGAACAGTTCAAAAATATAGCAGATGTTAGGTATTCTATGTATTCCGCATAGTAATGCAGAGTGCAAGAGAATTTTCTCTAAAGTTAAAAATTTTGCTCATTACTTTCTGGTCAAAAGTAATTTTGCTGTTATGAACAGAAATTTGATTAAAAATTTCTTATGCAAAGCCCTACTTATGTTTCCTTCCGGATTTAGGCTGGAATCTCCGGCTTTTTCTTTATTTTAGACACTTCCGGATTTTTCTTTAAAAGAACCCCCCGCTAAAATACGAAATAGAGAAGAAAAATTATCGGTGACGGAGCATTCCTACGTTTCCTATGAGTCATTACGTTTCCTACGAGGGAGAAACTTAAGATTGTGATTGGTGCAGCGTATCCAGTTCGACTAGAGCACAAGCAAATGATCTTTCACTAACCACGTGACTTGCTGCTGTCTGGGTGCGGCACGTGACGCGACTTATCGGAGAAAAAATACTTCAAACTTCTACTCGAATCGCGTAGCAATTCTTTGTGTTTATAATTTAACACCGCACATTTTTCAAGTAATTTGTTTTTTAGGTGATATTGTTCATTAAGAAAATATCGGCAAAAAAAGCCGAGCAACGTTTAGTAAGAGCTACACAGAACAATTTCCATTCATTTAGTCCTCAAGAAATGGTGAAAGTTATGCATTTTGTTCAACGTTTACGTGTGACTTCTCGATTTTGCATCATGGGAAAGGTGATATTTTGAAACATATTCAAACAGATAAACATCAACGTAACTCAAATAATCTTTTGAGTAACAAAAAAATTCAAATAATGATGACCAACGTGTTATCTGTGCCGAAGCATTATTTACATCGTATCTCATTAAGCATAACATCGCCATCAATGCCTCTGATCATGCTGATAGTGAAATTGCACGAAAATATGGATGTGGGCGTACTAAAACTTGAGCAATATTGAAAGAGATGGCAAAATCAGAAAAGTAAAGTATTGCTGAGATACTTAGGAGAAGTCCCTTTTCAATAGCTACGGATGGCAGTAACAAAACTAACTGCAAATTATATCCTATTTGTGTTACCTATTATAATGAAGAGCGCATAGAGACTTGTGTTCACCAGTGTCATCATCTGAAGGCACTGGAGTCAATATAGCAAATCTGTTATTGACTGCTCTGAGTGAATGTAATATTGATGTCAACAATTGCCTAGCTTTAGGGGCTGACAATGATTGGTAAGAAATCAGGGGTTGCTGGAATAACTGAAATTCCTAATTTATGTGCCATTGGCTGCCCTTGCCATATGCTCCACCTTGCTGCGGGGCATCTGTGCTCCCTGTATCCATAGAGGAGTATATAATTGACATTTCCTTTTTATTAGACAAAAGCTCTAAAAGAAAAGAGAAGTTGAAACAATTTCAAAAATTGCATGACACTGAAGTTAGGAAATTCCTTAAACACATGGCTCTCTCTCTCTAAGCTGATCTTTAAATAGACTCCTAGAGCAATGGAATCCTTCTTCAAAGAAGAACTGAAAACTTAGCAGGGAAAATGCAGTACATTGAAAGATTACAGAATTCCAAAAAAGGATAATTCTGAGGCTGGTACCTCAAACGTTTTAGTAGCTAAAAAGAAAACCATTAACTATGAGTTAAACTCATCCAACTTAAAGAAGTTTGAATTGAGCAAAGACTTCAATGAAGCACTATCTAAGAGTGTTTTATCCAGAGAATATTCATGTTTTTATCAGATGATTTGTATAAGTCTTCTTAGCACATTGTTTACCTATATTTGAAGAACCCAACTTCAGTCAAGTTCTCCTCCACTTCACAATCTTTTATTGTCAACTTTAAAAAATGTTATGGTTCGCTTTGTCACTCCTTCAGCAATTAAAATGTGTACTTCTTTGCTAGATGTAAAATATCATTGTAAAGAAGTTGGATTTAGATTTAATTCATCTAAAATTGTAAATACTTTACAGTTTGAGGGGGGAAAAAAGAATTTTTCCAATCAGTTAAGAATTATTTCACAACAGTTTGTGATTATATGATCCATAAATTCCCATTCAAAGATGACATACTTATGAGTGATAAAGTGTTAAATCTGAATGAGATTGAAAATGCTTCATTTTCTAATATAAGATTTTTCTGTAACTGATTTTTTGTCTTCACAAAGCTTTTAAATTTTGAAAATTCTGATGCTCTCTTAGATGAACTGGAGATTCAGTTCTCTTTAGCTAGAAAATTTGCCCATTGATGTACATGCTGAAAGTAGAATGGATGTTAAGTGGGCAAAAGTGGCCAATTGCTCAAACAAAAAATGTAATTTATTATGAAAATTTATCCTTTCACGTTGCCACATAGCAATGCAAGCTGCGAATGGGTTTTTAGTTTTGTTACAACGGTGCAAACCTAGTTTCGCTCTCAGTTATCAAGTGAACATTTGGAGAACTTATTGAAGTCTAGCATGAGAGTTTCTTGTTTTGAACAAAAATTTTCTGATGCATTTTTGAAAAAGGCAAAATCTTGCACTTTTAATTCTCTTAAACAATAAAGAATTCTGAATAATGATGCTAAATTAAGTTTTATTAATGAGTTATGTGTTTTAATTCATATTAAATAAATTTATGTTGCAGATTGAACATGGTAAACATTGAAAAATAATTTTAAGCATAATTTTTTGAATGATTATTATTTTATGAAATATGAATAATAAAAAAATTTTGATTGACACACATAAGTTATCAAATTTGTCTCAATATATTATTAATAATAAATTTTTTATCTCTTGCGCTATGCCACATTTGCAATAAAAAAAAAATTCCTTCTTTTTATTTTGGTAAGGTTGGCAAGTCTGTGTTTGAAATATGAATCTGTAAAATTAAGCTAATTACTTAGAATTCTGAAAATTATTTTGACGTTGTGTGTTTATAGTATAAGTTATCATGAATAATGGTTTTAAAGAAATCTTCACTAATACTATGCTTTAAAATCCAATAGCGTCATTCGTATACATGCGTTTGCACTATCAAACATTGCTTTTTGAATTTTTATTCGTGATTTCAAAACTACGTGTTGCGATTCGTATTCACGGGATCTGAAAAACATGCGCAGGGATTCATATTTATGCAATTCAATATCGCAATTTATGTTTTTGTGTTTTTAAAATTCAATATTGTGATTCTTGTCTTGTTACTCTAGATAATTTAATCATAAATTCAAAAAATTATTTAGTTTTTTACGTTGTGTTTATTTCTTTCAATAGGTTCTTCAAGCATTGGAATTTCTGCATTATAATCAAATAATTCACAGAGATATCAAGAGTGATAATATTTTATTAGGATTGGATGGAAGCATTAAACTTAGTATGTCTCTTTTTTCTCTTAAGGAAAAGCTAGTTTTTGACTCACGAGGGCAGATCAAAAAGTAATATAGCCATTTATTAAGACAGCGTGCAATGTAAGTTCACTTTTTCACAAGAGACTATAAACATTTCTCCTAACAGACCACCGACTTTTCGATGCGTAATCTCCTCCAGCACATGGAGACCCTCCGTGTCTTTCCTTGTGGTGATGAGGTGTGCACCCATTCCATCCATGTTCTCTTCGTTTGGGGGGGCGAAGTGGTGGATCCAGGGCTCATCCCCGATGATGATTCCCCACCAAAACGTGTAGCCCTCCGCTGAATACCATTGCTAAAATGAGACGGTCCTTAAACACTGATTGATTTTGGAAAATAAAGGCCTTTAAAAGTAGTTAATTTTGGTTCAAGGTTTTTAAAAGTCCTTAATTTTTTAGCATCACTATGGTTGATAAGAACAATTTTTCAGTTCAATTTTTTAACACAAAATGTCGTTCTTTTATCATTTAGAATTAGACCATGCATGGAGGGTAAAGCATTCTAGAGAGACAAAAATTAGTGTGGGGTACAGACAAGGGGAAGAAAGCAAGTCCTTTCATTAATATATTCTGCCCCTTGCCTAGAATGATACTCTATGAGGAGAGTGAAGCATTCTAAAAGAAAAGAATAGTGTGGACATGGGGAATACTGCGCATGGAAGAGATAGTGTGCTTTTTTTGGGGGGGGGCAGTTTTAAGGTACCTAAGTAGAAGACTCACATTAACCTTCAAAATTGACAGAATTCAAGAATTTCAGTTCTATTGGTAACGCATCTGCTTATAGGAATTAAGACACTAAGAAAAGAAGTAACTGGAAAAAATTTTGAGCTAGAATCTATAACAACAACTATTTCCTAAAATCTTGAGGAATTAAATAAATTTGTATAATATTTCAATGTGTAATAAGTAACAGTAAATTTATAGAAAGCATAAAAAATTTTAAAATTCATGATTGTACTAAAATTAAACTGATTTGTGAGAAACAGGGTTTGAAAAAACCCAGCCCACCTAGGTTTTTCATCAAAAACCTGAAGTTTATAGTGTTTTTGACGAAACCAAGTTTTTTTTTTGTTTTTTTTCAAAAATACTTAATTTTTTTTTCTTTTCTTCCTGAGCACTAAATAAGAAAGCATGATTTGCTTCTAACAAGAAAGTTAAATATTTGATAACTATTTGCTTATAATTTGTTTTGTTGCAATGTAATTTTTAAGTTTTAGATTGTTATGCTATTATTATTTTTATTTCTTAAGGATAAGCAGATTGTTACATAAAAATTTAAATCTACTCATCTAAAAGATCCTTAGATTTTAATAACCATTTTATTCAGTTAGCATTGCAACTTGATATGCTGTTTTTAATTTTTGTTCAAATTTTTGGTTACTTTAAAATTAGTACATGTTTTTCTCCAAAATGTTTAGTTAGTGTAATGCATTGTGTAAAGTTAATTAGTAAAGTAGGTAGAAATGATTTTGTTTAAGTTCATCATAGAAGTAAATATAACACATTTGTTGGTCTAGTAGTGAAACATTAAAACTTGTTGAAGTAATTTTTTCAATGTTTTAGACAAATTTTTTTATTTACTCTCTTTTTTCTATTTTTAATATACATGAAAAAATTTCAAATTTTAATTTCTGTACTTAATTTTACAATTCAATTTCAATGAAATCATTAAAAATAGAATGCAGATTAGTTTCAGACATTAACTTTTACAATGTGAATGACGTTAACCTTTAACACTCTCAAAATGTTTTTTTGTTTTTTTAAACAAACCGGGTTTGCAAAAATTGTCTGGTAATTCTTTGGCAAGCCCTGTTAATTAATACAATTATATCAGTACTTACATTCTAATAAAATTGTTTTTTTATTTATTGATTTTGTTAGGATGGTAAATAATTTGTGCTATCATTGGTGGCATATGTATATTCAATGATAATCAATCATACTATTTTTATTTAAAGTCCTTAATTTTTCAAAAAAGTCCTTTGCTTTGTTGAAAGAGTGGGAACCCTGTTGTCCCTTGTGATCATGGGTGAGAAGATGTGGGATCCTTCTTTGGCTGAGTTTAAGAGATTCCAGTCGTCACGAACAATGGTGAACACACTGCCATACAAAGTGTGTTGGCAATTTCACACGGTTTTCATCCTTCCATTGCGGTATTCATCCGTGATATCCGATATTTCACGAGGAACACCTGTTCCATGAATCCATTTGTCCCTTAGAAGTCTGACTGCTGCACGCAACTCCAATTTTTAGAGGGAACTTCCACTAGCCCGCTATACACAAAACACTATCGGAGCACTCCCTTTCTCTGCATTGTCCGAGACACACAGCTGTGGTCTGCCCTTGTACACGTATCTTATTCACTTGAATAACTTATTTTCATTTGAATTTCAGCTGATTTTGGTTTTTGTGCTCAAATCTCGCCTGAGCAAAGCAAAAGGACAACAATGGTGGGAACGCCTTATTGGATGGCACCAGAAATCGTGACACGTAAGCAGTATGGACCCAAGGTGGATATCTGGTCTCTGGGTATTATGGCCATTGAAATGATTGAAGGTGACCCACCCTATATGCATGAAAGCCCTCTCAGGGTGAGTGTATTTCCTTCTAAAAGTTATACACCATCTGTGGCGTCCCCCTCTTGCCTCCTTTCCACCAGTTTTTTTATAGGACTTGCATCACAGCTTGCATCTGCTCTCGTCCCAAAGGTGTTCTATGCAATTTAGATCGGGAGATGGCCAGTCCAGTTTTTCATCGTCTATGCGAGCCTCGATGTGTGTGAATTGAAGAGAAATGGGCATTGTCCACATGCATTCCAGCCAAACTATGAGAAACACTCCCCCACACCATTATGCTTCCACCCCCATAGCAACTGGACACTTTTGGCCAGAAAGTGGTATATACAGTAAAACCTCGCTACAACAATATTTTTGGTACCTAATAAATATAGTGTTATATCAAAGGCCTACTTACTTTGTATTTTTTTATTTTTTTTATTTTAATGTTATATGTGTATTAACTATAAATGTGTATATTATATAAAAAAAAATTTTGCAGAGTGTTAATTATGGTTAAATATTCAAAACAATTTAAATAAAATAAGATTGCAAACGTGCCTGAAAACCGTTTTTATTGAAAATAGTTTGTTTATTCATTTTTCTGACTGTTAAGTCAACCAACCAAGTATGCATTGAGTTCAAAGTAGGAAAATGATTTTTGTTTGCGCTCCACCCACCCTCTGCAGAAAAAAACTTTCTTTCAGGTGTTAATGTAATGCTTGTAGTCATTTGTGACTCATAGTCAGCTTTTAACATGAAGGAAAGGAATGTTACATCTGTGACTTCTTAAGAGATAACTGAGGCAATTCTAAGAATGGAAGGTCTTGGGGAAGAGAGTTTACTGGATTGACTCAATTATCATTGCTCAGCTGTGTCTCGTGGCTCCTTCCGCTGTATCTGCATGCTCAGACATGCATTAAACTTAAAAGTTTCGTTTATAGTGATTGTATGCTTTTCATGATCCTTCTAAAAGGGATCTAGTCTGGTACACCTATGGATGGGTATTTACTGCTCCAATCTCTAGTTATGCCACTTTTTTTCAGGCTGAGTTCTATACTGTAGGGTGGGCATTGTCTGCTCTGATTGCTCTTCTATCACGCACCATTCACCTCTTTTTTTTTTTTTTTTAAGAGTGCTTCTTGGTGACTTTTCTACTCATACTAGGGTATTCCTGATAATGATGAATTAGCACGGACTTTGTGTGGCCCTGAACTAGCTTTGAGAAATGCTCCTGCTGCACCTCTCCATATATAATTTTTATTTACCAAGTGTTAGCATTTCTGCAATAACTAAGATTTATCTTTTTTTTCTTCTTTCTTCTCATTTATGTTATTAAAGAGGGGAATCACCTAAAATAACATGGAATTTTGAGTTTTTCCTTGCAAAATGGGAAAATACCGGGAACTTTATTTCTTCTTTTAAAAAGTGGTGACCGCTATCCATGGGATATTTAAGGATGATATTTCAACTATACTAAACTATTTCATTTACTTCAGCATTTGTTGTTCCTTTTTTCGTTACGTTCCCCCCCCCTCAGCAATTATAACTAGTATAGCTCACACAAGAGTACAGTGATAGTGTTCTTAATATATTGTTTATGATATGTACAGTGTTAACCCTTTCAAATGTGTCCTCATTTATGTATTGACAGGCGTTATATCTAATAGCAACTAATGGAAAACCGCAGCTAAAAGAAAAAGATAAGATTTCCCCAATATTTCAAGACTTCCTCGATAAGTGCCTAGAAGTTGATGTGGACAATCGGAGTACTGCTGATGAATTACTTAAAGTTAGTTTTTTTCTTGCATTTTATTTTACATTATTAGAATAGCTTACTTTCTTCTTCATACCTCCATAAATATTTAAGATAGACTTACGAAATTTTGTGCAATTATTGCATGCAATAGCCAAAATACTAGTTACAATTTATAAATTCATTGCTACATTTTTTGGCACCATTCCGCAAAAACACTATTTCCATTTGTAATTTGTTGACGATCCCTCAGACCTCTAAAAGGTTTGAACTTCATTTAGATGTATGATAAATCACATGATTTAAACACTTCTTGAAGTTATTCATTATTTCTTGAGAAATCTGAAAAAATATATTAGGATAGAAGTGTCTCCATTATTTTCTCTACCCCCTGCATGTATGTATGTGTGTGCATATATATTGTTTGTGTGTGTGTCTTGTACTGTTACCTCAAAATGTATTATTTTTTTAATCATTCTTAAAAATTAAACGATTTAGAGGATTAGGTGATACTATTGCCCAGGTTCAAATGAAAATTAAGAAATTAATTGCACCCATAATAAAGTTTATTAACAGTCAGAGATTTCAAAGAAAATTTAATAAATGCTGCAATTCAGGTGTTATGCACATTACTATTCATAAGGTATATAAAGCTATTAGTGTGAAACTTAAAATCAAAAGGTAATTTGAGGCTTAGAATAATAAAGATGAAATTATATTTCCATTAACAAAAACAAAAAAATAGTTCTTTACACAAATCTTCTAATAATTAATAATTTGCAGATATATAACACTGATAATAATGTTAAAAAGAGGTCATATATCTAGAAATAATTATGATTTCACTTTACCACTTTTTTTTTTTAGATTATCATAACTGCTTTTAATGGTTTAAGAGTCACTTATTTATTCCATGGTTCAGAATAAACACTCCAGACTACTTTCTTGACATATGTATAATAGACTCAACTTCTTTTATTGTTCATATGAACCTTCTGTCAAAGTAGTAGGGGAAACTGTATCAACTCTTCGAGAACAAATAGTTCATTATTTGATGAAATGCGTGCATAATTTCCATCGTTTTTTTCCCCTCATGTTTCTTCAGCCTCTACTATACACCTTCGTTCTACCGGTCAGCAAAGTGAATCAAATCTAAAGTTGACCTCTTTACACTTTCAATTATTTAACAGTCATGCAAAACCAGTGATCATCAAAGAATAATCCAGAGGTGAAACAATTATAAATAAAACAATGTTTCACAAAATTGATAAAGTAATACTAGTTTCATATAAATATAACGTAAATAAACAACAATATAACAAAGATTAAAATCATTATTTTAAAAGATAATTAAAATTTAAGACAAGTATCACTATTGGGATGTATTTAAAACTTTTATTACAGTGGTGCCATCTAGATAGAAACTATGTTTTAAAAAATTACAAGAACTTGATAAAAAGGAGGAGTGTTGCCCCCTATTGAAGCAATAAGCAAACAATTTCAATAGTTGATTGTTGTAAATCTTCTGCATTTTAAAAGATTTGTCTAGTATGGATGGTTGACCATGCAAAGCTAAGCACAGATGGCGCCAGTGGTTACTTCCGGGTTGTTACTTCAAACTGATTTTTAAGCCTTAGCTTGGAAAAATGCACTACAGTATAGAACCGCAAATCCGGCACTCACGGGACCGACGAAATTTCGTATTTCGGAATTTGCCGAATTTCGGATCTCTTTCGGAAATTCCAATATGGCACCCATATATAACAATAATTCAATTATACTGCTAATTTCAGAAAATTAATTAATTCCAATAAATTTAGTTAAGTTTTGATCGTAGTAGGTGAATTTAAAACTGTCCCATCTTAAGAAATCTCATTAATTAAAATATAATTTATAGAATAGAAATAACAATATATACTTTTTATAAGCTAACAACAAATAATGATAAAAAAAACAAGCTAACAACTAAATACAATTAAAAAAAACAAGCTATCATTTAACAAAAAAAAAATTAGCAGTTAATAACTAATAAAAAAACGAAAGAGTATAATTTACATCAAATAAGAAAAGCAGCGAAAGGGATAGAATTCAGTTTGTATCCCAAGTGGTAGCTTCATTATCAAAAGGATGTGGCTAATTTATGGTCAAACTGGAGAGGGAAATGTGGGAACCAAGCAGTAAGAAGGGGGGAAAAACCAGTAGAGCACTTGCACAGCTGTCAAAATTGATTGATCAGTTTCTTCCAACATGCTTTTCTTTATTTTGTTCATTGAAAATGCAGGTGTTTTTACTTTTCCCTTTAACTTTAGATATTTTAAACTGCTTTAGAAACAGATGTTTCCTTTGACACCAGATTTTTTTTTCATGCTTTTTTTTAGAAAGATAAACTAAAGTTACTTACTTCAACAGAATTAAATTCCGAATAGAAAGAGAATATAACTGTTTTTTTTTCTCTTATTAATAAAAATTTCTTTAAAAAACAATTAGATCGGATTATGTGCCGAATTTCGGGATACCGGATTAGGGGTCCCATACTGTATCGAATATTATTATGCTTATAGTGTTTTCAATGTAAGTCGTTCTTTCGATGAAACAAACAACAAATGAATTTGGAAGACTCCGTAAGCTTGCTGTGATGTTACTCAAAAAAAAATAGTGCTATTTTACACCCATATAGCCAAATAAGGGGTAACACTTAAAAAATGGATAACTTTACACTTTTTTTCTTGTTGTGATATTAATTTTGTTTCGGGCTCACGACCTGTAAACACTTATGAATCCTTAAAACACTTATGAATCCTTAAAACACTTATGAATCCTTAACACTTATGAATCCTTAAAACACGTATGAATCCTTAAAACACTTACGAATCCTTAAAACACTTGCGAATCCTTAAAACACTTATGAATCCTTAAAACACCTATGAATCCTTAAATTATGCATAAATTGAAACTCAAATCACAATCATAAAACTCCCCAAAATTTTAAGCCTGTTGACACATCACCTGGTAAGAATAACATAAGTGGGGTGATACAACAGAACTTTTCTTAATTTGTTATTGTTTACATTCAATCAACCATAAGTTATTGTAGTAGAGCATTGATTTTTATTTTATTCTTTTCAGCATCCATTCCTCAAGTTGGCTCAACCTTTAGCAAGTCTATACGATTTAATAATGGCAGCAAAAGAGGCAGTGAGATGTAAATACAAGTAAAGAAATAATTCAGCTATCATCTAACTCACTAAATTATGTGCCTCAGGGTTTAAAAAAAAAAGATTCTTTTTTAAGAGCAGCTTTCCTACAATGAAATATAAGGCTGTAACATCAACTACCGTGAGTTTTTGTGATATATTTAAAAACATTTTTAGTAACTGCAAATATATGAGTGTGGAGGTCTCCTGTAATGTACAAAGAAACTATTTTAAAAGTTGTGAGTGGACTATTAAAAATGTTAAATGTTTGCTTTTTTAAAGGGACTGGCTGAACACTTCACTGCAAAATGAGCTTAGTATCCTCCATTATTGCTGATCATGTACATTCTAAATTCCACTTGCTTAACATTCATGGTCCTTTTTTCTTTGCTGTTTTTGTGAAAGAAAAATAATATCCAATTATTAAATACCCCCCCCCCCTCCAAAAAAAAAACAGTACGAGATTAAAAAGAACAAGTAGGTACAAAATTACATACAATTTTCCTGAATATATAAACAGGGTATCTGAGTACCTGGAAAGTCATGAGAAATCATGGAAAGTCATGAATTTCGGTATTGAACAAAATTTGTCATGAAGTGTCATGATTTTAACTATTTAAAAAAAAAAAAAATCATAGAAAGTCACAGATTTAGGTCGTCAAAAAATCTAATTTTTAAAATGGAATTCCCCCTCCTCCTCGAATTTCATGGTGTTCTGAATATCTGAATTTGTAACAAAATCCCCACTCAGTCATATTTTATTAAAACATAAAATCTTATCCTGTTCTTTAAAAATTATGGTGTTATTTCAAAAAATGAAAGAAAAAACATCATTTCTAGAGCGAATTATCTTCTATACTTCTGTGATTTTTGTTATTTTTATTTTATTTTATCAATTTAAAATTCTAACTAAAGCAAGCCAGTCATTGGCGATATTTTTTTATTCCGAAATGATATCAGAAAACTCCGTAATATTTTTTCCCGACGAACGAGAAAAGTATCTTTGGAATATGATTCTGCAGAAGAAAAAAATTATTTGCTTTTGTATTTTTTTTCCACTTATTTTATTGCTTCAACTCTTTTTTTTCTTTTTTACTTTGTTTTTTTAAATTTAAAATCTATGAATATAAAGATGCGGAGTATAACAGTTTTGGTTACCCCTATCATTTCAATTAGTGTTATTATAACGCTTTTTTTTAAAAAATTTATTGCTCTGTTTTTGTCTGGAGAAAATAGTAACTTTGTTAAGTCTTGAAAAGTTCTTGGAATGAGTCATGAATTTGAAAATTTAAAATGTAGCAGATACCCTGTATTAGTTTTCTTACAGAATGGTCATTTTTCATTTATTTTATTCAGAACTCTTAGTGCCATATTGTCTGTGATGATAAAAATGATTTGCATTAAAGTGACAAATAATAGTAAATACTTCCACACAATAAACTTGAAGTGTTAAGTCATTTCCTCTCTCTCTCCTGTTGGCTTTTATGATCTTGTATAAAATATTAATTAGTTTTCACTGTCAGAATGAGATTATTAAACATAGTTTATTTTCCAACTTCCTTACGTGTGTGTATTTATTAGACATTAAAAAGTTGTGACATTCCGCACGTTTAACCAAAAGAATCCAAATTATTAATTTTATAAGTGTATTTGGCTCAGATTTTAGATGTTTTTAGTCCTGTTTTTTTATTTATGATTGTTTTTTTTTTTTTTTGTTTTTTTTGTTTTTTTTTGTCAAATTTAGCAGATGTGGTATTTTTACCATAAACAAAATTTAGTTAAAATGAGTTAAAAATTTAATCTAAATAACCTTTTTTTTCTCTCTCTCTCTTGGATTTGAAAATAAGTATTAGCTTTTGTAGCAAATACAACAATTTTTAAATTTAATTTTATAGTTTATGAAATTTCAGTTAGAATTATAACAAATTGAGAATTAAACATTTAAATAATTTTAAATTAAATTAAACTACCATCCCTTAAACTTTATTTATTGAATCTTTCTAATATTCAAAAGTTTTAATTGAACACAAATATTCATTATAATTAATTATTTGTTTTAAAATAATGCAATTTTTCATCTAATTATTTTTAATTTCATTGAGAAAAAAAATATTTTAATCCATTTTTATAATATAACTTTGAAATTATGTTACTCAATATATTTTGTTTCTATTTTAAATCCAATGATAAGTTTTGTGGTTCTCACACACTGTTTCTATGTCATTTCGGTTATTTGAAAAATAATCCTTTTGCTATTTCTGACATTTGATAATGTGTGTTTTATGTTTGTAGTGTGTCTACCACTACAAAAGTACAATTCCAATTCATTAGTATATGAGACGTGTTTACTCGATTCTATGGGGGTACCTTTTCATAGATAACGGTTGACATTGCCAATATCTACTCTCCCCTCGTTGGTGACCCGAACGTAATGTGAACTTTGACAGAAACTCCCACATTAATCAGAACTTCAATGGATGGTCCGCGTTGAATAGTTGGCTTGCTCTTGTTATATTATCCACCTCCTCGCCCTGTTGCTACTTAGTCGTGATTACAAACAACATATTCACTCGACTGCTAAAGGCTACACAGGAGCAACCACAACCGTAAACTTAATACAGCTCTCCCGGCTTCTCACAAACCAGCAATGAATCAATAAGTGGTATCCGTTCATCGAATTCTGTCACAAATATAATTCTGGTAGGGGAGTACTGTAGTGTGTCTACCACTACAAAAGTACAATTCCAATTCCCTAGTATCTAAGGCACGTTAACTCGATTCTATGTCGAGATACCTTTTCATAGATGAAGGTTGACATGGTCAATATCTACTCTCCCTGCATTGCACAATGGGTGTCATAAATCTTCCGTTTTAAAATTTTAAATGATGGCAATTTTTCATTTGTGTTGTGGCTATGCCATTTTGAGTATATTCATAATCAATAATTGAGCACATTAATTTTATTTTTAGATTTAATGAAAAGCTATTTTTATGCAAAATTAGAAAAATAATAAAATTCTATCAAAATTTTAACGCATACTATATTTCAATAAAATAAAGCATCATTTTTATATTTTTAAACTTATATGCTAAAAGAATTTAAATTGTGTGCCAAGATTTTTTTGTTATTCAATTACTAGCTGAATGAATGGTTGACTCTGTGTAAAGCAAAGTGACAGATGGCACTGGGGGATTTGCCATAATACTTTCAGGTTACTATTTCCGACTGATTTTTACCCCTAAGCTTGAAAAAAAAACGTGCCATCCAATATCGTTACGCTCGTAGCGTTTTTGCAATGTAATACGTTCTTTCAATTTAGTTTACAACAAAAACAATAAATGAATTCGGAAGACTGCATCCTTTCTAGGATGCTACCCAAAATATAACAAAGGGCTCTATTTTATACAAATATAGCCACGTGAAGGATATTACTCAAAACATGGCAAACCTCATACTTCATTTCTGTTGATATAAATATTTTTTGTTTTCGAGACCCGTCAGAAATAGTAAATAGCAGAAAAACTCTTATGAATGGTAAAATTATGTGAAGTTTTCTTAATTTCTTCCCATAATAGGGTTATTGTTTACATTCAAGCTGCCATCTATTATACGTATATATAATATTGCTTTCCTTTTTCTAAAAAGTTTCATTCTGACAAGGCCCGTTGGTTTTTGTGGCCTCAGATAGGCCTATTCATCTTGAAATTTTCAGGGTTGCCACAGGCGACTAAAATGCAACTATTTTTGACATGAGGCAACTATGGCAACTTTTTTTGCCTGAAAAAGTTAAAAAAGCAACTATTTTCAGGAAAAGGAGACTATTGGGAGACTTTTCTGTACTCCTAGCAATGTTTTTTAAGCCCAATTAAGTTTTCACTTTTTAATTGGGTGGAAAATCTACACCCCACAAGATAGTTTCTGAACACACTAAACTTCTTTTTTTTTAATAAATAAAAAATTTTGAATTGCAAATTTGAGTCTTCACTTTTTAATTTGTCCAATCTGCACAGATTCCATTGTATTTCATTTCTCGATCGCCTTTTCAATGATTATTGCTACGAAATACCGAATGAATTTTTTTTTTTTTTTTAATATGATATAACGATGCTTGAATTTCAAATTTGAGTTATCACTTTTCATACATATATATATATACATTAATGCTTAGATAAAAATTATCATATTTGCCACCAACTTGACTTAATGGATCCTGGTATATGACAATTAAGTCATTAACAAAATTTTAGTCATATTTTTGATGCATTTTTGTTCTTATTTAGGCAATTATTTTCCTAGTTTTTGGATACTATTTTCATGCATTAGGCTCCTAAAACCAACTATTTTGTTCATTTTTTCTGTATCAACCCTGAATATATTGTACTTTGTGGTGGATCAATAAGATAAGAGGAATGGAGGATAAGGAATAAATGGCATTTAAAAAATTGATAAGTTTCCTAACACAAAACAATTGATGAAGACGCCTATTTACATATAATGTTGAAGCGTTATTACCTCATAACGAAGTGTTCAATAGCTCTAAGATTGGAATCTTTTTCTAGATTTTCAGATATATATATTGTTGAAATTTCCAGTGTTGCAGTCAAGAGCTTTGTCAGAGATGATTCGGTTGAGCTTCTTGATCAAATGAATCAATTTTTAGGTTTGTCAGTATTCCTTTGGTAATTCTCCTCAGAATAATATTTTGTAGTGAGTCTGACAGAAGATGTGTGGAGGTATATATATTATTTTGAGTTGTATGTGTTCTTGATTGAGTAGATTCTGTAATTTAATGCATAACAGCACTATTTTCCCTCTTATTAGAATGTGTTTATTTAGAACGAGGCCAAGATAAGTGGCTTTTCTCACAGTTAGGTTTCTGCACGTAAAAAGAATGTGTTTTTTCAACAAAAAAAGGGGGCAAGACGAAAGTCTAATTTGTAATTTAAACCAGGGCTCAAAAAAACTCATAAATTTTACTCGTCCCCGAGAACGGCTTGTCCAAAAATGTACCCGTTCTCCTTTGAAACTGACCCATAGCTTCTAAATAAAAAAAAATATTTTTTTTCTTATTTATTACAACCATTTATATAAATTGCACAATGAATTAGTAGTTACTAGGATTACATTATACAGTAATAAAAAAAAATACTAGGTTACTAATAGTGACCTAGTATTTCTTTTATGAAATAACTTATTTCTTTTATATAGTAATTTAAATGACAAAGGTCAAGTTATCTGAAATGTCAATTTATCCGAGAGGACTGCGTTTTTTAAATGAATCAAATAGGACGTTTGCCAGTTCCACAATCAAGCCAATGATTTACAGAGGTTTCTGCACAGAAATCTGAAAGGGGTTTTCCATTTAGGTAGATGTTCATAATTGCGTTTAACGCTTCTTGTTTAAAACCAGTAAGTAATTTTTTTTTTTTTGTAAGTTCATTGCTGAAAAGTCCCTTTCAACCGCTGCAGTACTGCCAGACAGAGAAAACATCAATTCCACCTTGCGCAGTATGTTGCTGTCTTTCTAGATTAGAGGGTCATTTTAGAAGTGAGGCGCTAGACTCTTGTAAGATAACAAATATTTAAATGTATCACGAACATGAACGGGAAAATGGCCTTCCGTGCGGACGTCGGATTCGAGAAATTCGTTGTCCGCTGGGAATTTTTTACCACCGAGAACGTGTGGTTTTTCAAGCCCTGATTTAAACTATTTTCTAAGGGATAAAAATGTGCGCTACCAACAAAAAGAATGATTATACAGCCGCTCATAAGACTACTACTGAGGAATATTCTAAAAAATTATTTTAAAAGTTTTAGCGTAAAATCTTTCGAGGAAGAAGCCGAATTTCAAACAAACATAAAGAAGTCAAATTGGACATCGAGAGAATAATTATAGCCTTCGAGTATTCAAAAGTGGGATGAACTATTTTTCTGAAAATAGTTTACAGTATTTCAATTCACTCCTGTTCCGAAACTTTTTCTTCAGAATCCTTTGAGCAGAACAATAGGTATCCATGTCCTATATTACCGCCAGTTCTTAGAATGTAAATAATGCTTGTTGCAGTCAATACTTTTGCAGAAGTGAAACTGCTAAATTTCTAAAAAGGTACATACTTTTGACTTTCGTTACAAGAAGCGGAAGTAAAAGTGTATTTTGCTTTATTTGTTTTGTCATAGAAATGGCTGTGTGAGATTAAATTATTGATTCAATTGTATTTTTTAATTGTATGTTTGTAATAATACTCTGTGATGTCAAGACATATCCATTTTCAGAATTCTGAAAACGGAATAATAAAACTACTTTTTTCAGTGAAGTCTACTTCTTTAGTTTTTCGATGGCTCAATCGCACCCCTATCAGGAAAAACCTTGCCAAGGAATTTGGTTATATTCTTTAAAACATTTAGTTTTTTGTAATTAAAAACATAAAGAAGAGAAGTGTTCTCTTTACTTACACTTTACGACCGACTTCCTGTTCAGACATTTTTTTTCTCTGAGGGTCAAGTCTTTTTTCCAAATGGAAAGTTATTTAACACCCTTCAACATGGTGCGTAACGTTT